TATTATTATTATTATTATTATTATTATTATTATTATTGCATGGCACTTGCAGGAACGGGAACGGAATGGAACAGGGCAAAAACACATGCTACCGTACAGGAGAATGCCGCCGATGCTGCTGGGAATCCCCAAGCCAGCCCCCAGCCGTTCCTGGCAGCTGATTTTGAAGAATGGTTCAAAATTGGCTGCCACAGCATGGATGGGGAACATCTTGGGGACTCCTGGCGACATCGGAGGCATTCTCCTATGGGGTAACATGTGTTCTTCCCCCATTCCATGCCGTTCCGTTCTGTTCTCATTCCTGCAAGTGCCATGCAATAAACCTTATAGTCTACAGCACCTGGTAGTCCTGGACAGTCCCTCATCCAAGTGGATAACTTAATAGAGTGGGCTCTTCTTATCTGTGGGCTTGCCATCTACAGATTTGAGCTTCCTTGAACGGCAATCCATTGTCTTAAATGGATGCGCATGCACCAGTGGCCATATGCATGTCGCGCAGCCATAGGAAACAATGGGACTTGAGGTACTGTCTGTTGTTTTTTTGTTATCTGTGACAGTAGTGGTCCAAAACAGATCCCCCATGGATTTGTACTTTAGTGAGATATTTAGCCTCCTCTGTCAGAGAGTTCTGGCATCACAACAAACTACAAATCCCAGAATTCTAAAGTATTGAGTCATGGCAGTTAAAGCAACTTCAACCTGGATTATTTCTGCAGTGTGGTAGCAGCCTCAGTATTCTCTGCCATCCTATCTCAATGGGTTGCTGTTAGAAGTGCTTGGGAAGAACAGAACAATGTGAGCCAAAATGGGAGTAGTAATAGGGTTAGATAGTTTGAGAAACGGGGACTGTACTCTTATTTTGTGTACCTATCCTGATTTTTCTGTCATGTAAACTGATGCTTTTAGGAATATTTTCATCACATGTTTCCACTACATTTTTTTCTTTGTCTACCAAATTGATCTCTCAGTTTTCCTCTGGAATATAGCTAGAGTAGTTTAGCATCCTATGTAACTTTTCTTAGGATTCCAGTAATGTAGCCTTTCTCTTGCTTTCTCTAAGGTCCAAAATGCACTGTAGAAATAATCCAGTTTGAGACCACTTTAACTGCTTTGGCTCAGTGCTAGGGAACCCTGCAATTGTAGTTATTGTGGCACCAGAGCTCTCCAACAGAGAGGGCTAAATGTCTCACTACAGTTCCCAGAATTCCCTAGCATTAAGCCAGAATCATTAAAGCGGTCTCAAACTGGATTATTTCTGCAGTGTGTTTTGGACCTAAGTCCTTAATCAGGATCTGTAACCACTTCACTCACTCTTCATCATTGTGAAGAGAAAATAGGGGAGCAGCAGAACTAAGGGTGCATCCACACTGCAAAAATAAAGCAGTTTGACAGCACCTTAACTGTCATGGCTCCATCCTGTGGAATCCTAGGATTTGTAGTTTGGGTGAGACACCAGAACTCTCTCACAGGCCAGGCTGAATACCTCACCAAACTACAAATCCAAAGGATTCCATAGGATGGAGCCATGCCAAAGTGGTGTTTATTTCTGCAGTGTGGCAATAGCCTAAGTATGTAGCCATGAACTCACTGGAGCAAAGGCAAGATAAATAAGCATAACAAACAAACAAATAAATAAATAAATAGCTAGCAGCAACTGTGGATGGTCAGCAGGCAGAGGTTGGACTCACCAGGGCCGTCTCAGGGATGACAGTGATGGGCAGCTTTAGGTAGTTCTGGGCTGCAGAGCTCTGAGCTGAGAATGTTGCAGTGCTGGAAGAACATTCAGGGTTTATTATGAACACACCATTTGTGTATGTGGAAGGATGTGTGTAAACGAAATAGGGAAAAGGAGTGACATTACTTGTTGGCTTTTCTCATCCTCTGGAATCCCTTCCCTACAAGGCTAGGATGGCTCCTCTTTCTGTGTGTTGGTAAAAACTTCACAATTCCAACAGGCTGTTGGGAACTGGACTGGAAGGGCTTCTAAGAGTGTGTTGTGCTTTCTTTTGTGCAAGTCATTTCTGATTTATGGTGTTCCTATTATAGGGTGTTCTTGGCAAGATTCTTGAGAGGAGGTTTGCCATTGCCTTCCTCTGAGGACAAGTGAGGATTCGAACCCTACTCTCTCACAGTCTTAGTCCAGTACTCAACTGCTACTCAATAGGATCGGGGGTGTCAACTGGGAATGATGGTCATATAACCCGATCTGCAATTCACTTTAAATCATAGTGGAAATGAGGCCAATGTTCACTTGTCATAGAATCTAAGACTCATAGAGTTGGAAGAGGCCACAAGGACCATCCAGTCCAACCCCTTGCCATGCAGGAACTAAAATCAAAACCATATTAGTGCTGTCCATCTGATTCTTATGTTGCCATTTTAATGGATTTGTATTAAATAGTGTTAATTCTATAAATACTTTATAAATTTAATGAGAATATTTGTATGCTTTTATTATGTCTCTGTATATGTTTTTATCTGCATTTAAAAAAATTATTGTAAGCATCGTTGAATCCCAGGTTTGGGAATAGGTGAAATACAAATGAATAATTAAAAGCATCAGGGCTGTGGAATCAGACTCGGAGTTGGAAGCAATTTAGGTAAAGTCAGAATCAGAGGTCGTAGAAATGTGCCAACCCTGATTCTGGCTTCCAAACAAAAACTTATAATATTAAATGGGACAGCTACTGTGGTGTAGTGGTTTGAGCATCGGACTACGACTCCGGACACAAGGGTTTGATTCCCTGCTTGGCCATGGAAACCCACTGGGTGACCTTGGGTGATTCACACACTTTCAGCCCCAGAAAACCCTGTAATAGGGTTGCCTTAGGGCTGCCATAAGTCAGAAATGACTTGAGGTACACAACAACAATAGCAACAAACTTTTAAATGCCTAGTTTGTTGCATACTTACCATCATAGGAATTCAGGAAAGTGTTCTTATCCAGAAATTTTCATGAAAAAATGTTATGTTCTATCAACCCAAGTAGCCTGATGATTCACACAGTAGTGACAAAAAGTCTTGTGCTACCATTTTACTACTGTAAATTTGTTACTACTGATTAATATACATTTGAAGGATTCAGAGTCAGAGTAGTAAAAAGTAGTAAATCTTACAGACTGAATCAAGCATTGTTCATCATAATTATACAGCTTATTTTAAATGTTTCTATCGCACTTCAATAATTTCAGTTCTACAGACTCTTCATTGTAGTTGCCCCTCCATTCTTGCAGACTTGAGATCTGTGGTTTTGAATATTCACAGAGGGGCAACCTCTGTTAAGATCAATGGGATGTGCCCCCGTGGGGGCGTGCCCCATTCAAGCCTATGGGGCTTGAATATCAGTGATTCTCCATTTTCGCGGGGGTGGTGGTCCAGAACGGATCCCCCATGAAAACAGAGGGCCAACTATACTTCCATTCATTGAATATTCCTTTCATTTATATGACCTTCATTATTTCGTTGTTCTGTGCCTTCAAGTAGTTTCCAACTTAACAGTGACCCTAAGGCAACTCTATGTTGCCATGTTTCTTCAGAGAAGTTTTACCAGTGCCATCCTCTGAGGTTGAGAGAGCGTGACTTGTGCAAGGTCACCCAGTGGGTCTACATGGCCGAGCCCGGATTTGAATTCTGGTCCTCAGAGTTGCAGTCTAATGCTCAAACCACTACATCACACTGGCTCCTTAACAACCTTTATTATAGAATAAACAACTGATCATTAAGTATAATATGGACCTTCTTTATATCTATATTATATTTAATGATCAGTTGTTTATTCTACTTTTAATCTTATCTGAACTTCTACTTTCCCCATTAAGAGTTTTACTTATTATCCAAGTTTCTATTAACTATCTACAATTTAACTTAACCTCTTTTGCTTCTGTTTACCACCAAATAAGTTTAGTTTGAGAGTCAGTGTGGTGTAGTGGTTTGAGTGTTGGCCTACTACTTTGGAGACCAAGGTTTGATTCCCACTCAGTCACAAAATCCACTGGGTGACCCTGGGCAAATCACACTCTCTAAATATCAGAGGAAGGCAAAGGCAAAGTCTTCTGAACAAGTCTTGCCCAGAAAACCCCATGATAGGGTCACCTTAGGGTTGCCATAAGTTGGACACAACTTGAAAGTTCATAACAAAAACAACAAGTTTAGTTACCATACATACTTGACTATAAGTCAACCTCATGTATAAATCGAGGGTAGGTTTTAGGGCCAAAATTATGGATTTTGATATGACCCACTGATAAGTTTAGGATAAAACTTAGGTGCATGTAACAACGAATGTAAAGGATGAAGCAAAGGAAAACAATGGCAAAGAACTTGCAAAATCCCAGCAAGCATCAGTTTGTGTTCACCTAAAGGCTAGATGGATGAGAGAGTAGAGGGGGGTCAGTGCTTCCAGGACAGATTACACTCTTCCTTTTCACCAAGGAATGGTTCCCTTTTTTAATAAGAGTTAAAGTGCAGTACTTACATTGGCCCATGGGTAAGTCAACTCGGGTATTTTGGGTCAATTATTTTGACTATAATTTCTCGACTTATACATGAGTATATACAGTATGTTCTGTTATCCATTTAGTCTGTTATATTCTTATATTATTATTTGACTAATTGAAAGTAATCCAGCCATTAATCAATTCCCCCCTCTAACTATACTTTTGTGTAATCAATCCACAATACTAGATAAACATATCCACTTTTGTTTCCAATGAAATACAACTGATTTCCAGTTGTCTTCCAATTTTTCCAGTGCTTTATCATTAATCAAAAAAGTAAGCCCAGTGAACATATTTTAAACCTCTTCCCCTAAACATTTTGCCAAACAATTCCAAGTCTTGAGACTGTTGCTCCCTCCCAATAATCCTTCACAGCACATCCTACTCTCTGACATCAAATTCCTACTCCTGTCGCAGAGCACCCAGCAGTCTTGATCTCTGTCTTTTTGTCTCACATTCTCCTACCTGGTGGCAAATTTATCTTGTCCCACAGGTGCTGCAAAGATTGCAGTGAGGTTCGTATTCTGCCCTGGTTTTAAATAATGGGTTGTTGGTGTGAAGCTCCTCAGGAGACTCAGGTCATCCCAGACCTTGAAAGTGTACCAAGCTGCTGGCCCATCGTTCACCACCAGGACGGAGACCTCCAAGGTCTCACCAGGTGACATTGAGACTGGAATGAACAGGACAATATGGTCACAAGGTGGGCAGCAATTGGTTTCAAAGTCGGGGTGGGCAAGTTTGATGGGTCTGGGGGCCAGCGGTTCACCCCAGTAACCACATCAGACTGCAATGGGCTTGAAATAATTATGATGAGGATAATAGTAATAGTAATAGTAATAATATAGTTTTTACCCACCTCTCCATGGATTGAGGTGGGGAACAGCAACAAGTTAAAATACAACACTTATCAGTTAAAAATAAGTTTGTTAACTGAGGTATGGCTGAATATTGTTATAGCATTTTGACTGGACTCATGGTTCTGTCATATGATCCATCTCTAGATTTTTCATTTCAGGAGATATTTGGAATTCCCTGCCACAGAATGGAAAGTGCCTCATCAAACTAGACCCCAGGATTCCATATGAAGTAGCCACAGAAGTTAATATGATACCAAAGTGCTACAATTGTTGTTAACTGACATCAAGTTGAATTTAACTTTTGGCAATCCTATGAAGGACAGATCTCCAAGTCACCCTATCTTTAACAGTCCTGTGCAGGTCTTGCAGACTCAGAGCCGTGGCTTCCTAGATTGAGTCCATCTATCTGTAACGTGGTCTGCCTGTTTTCCTACTGCTTTCTATCTTGCCAAGCATTACTGTCTTTTCTAGTGACTCATGTCTTCTCATGTCCAAAGTAAACAGTCTAGTTTACACATTTTAGCTTCTATGGAAAATTCAGGTTTAATTTGCTCAAGGACCCATTTATTTGTCTTTTAAGCAGTCTACAGTATCCAAACTGCTGTAATTATATAGTATGAAAATAACAATTTTGGGACTGCTTCCTTCTGTTGGCACAGTAGCTGTTGTTATCACTAATTCATCTTACTGGAAGGGAAATGAGTTGTGAAAGAATAGAACATAAGTACTAGTTGTACAGTGGTACCTCTACTTATGAATGCTTCAACTTACAAAAAATTCGACTTACGAAACGGGCCTCCAAATTATTTTTGCTTCAAGTTACGAAATTGTTCTACTTACGA